GAGGCCTGAACTCTAGGCCTGGGTGCTGTCCCTCAGCTCTTCAGCTCAAGGCTAGCACTCTACAACTTGAGCCACAGCGCCACTTCCGGCTTTTTTCTTTTTGCTTATGTGGTGCTGAGGAATGAAACCCAGGGCCTCAGGCTTGCAAGGCAAGTGCTCTACCACTGAGCCACCTTCCCAGCCTAGTTTTTTGTTTGTTTTTGCTATGATCAGGATTTAGTTCATTTGGTCCAGGTAGTAAGCTCTTGTTCTGAGAGGTGTTCTGGGAGCAAGTAGAGCCTTTAAGAGGTGGGACATACAGGAAGGTTATTAGGTCCCTGAAGGGCCTACCCCTTAGAAGTGACTAAGATAGTTCTCTGCTGAGGGATGTTTAAAGCCTGGCCCCACTCAGTTATTTGCTTCCAGGTTGGAGTTATGACCACTTGCTCCTACTTACCATCCTGCCAGGATGAGACTCTGTCACTCCCACTAGAGGCCAGAACAGTGCACTTGCTCCTACAGATCATGAACTCTGAACCTGAAAAACTTTGAGCTAAGTATATATGTGTATGTATGTATTTTTTGTTTGTTTGTTTGTCTTGGGACATGAACTTGGAGCCTGAGAGCTGTCTGTAAGCAATTTTTTGGTTAAGGCTAGTGCTCTACCACTTTGAACCACCTCTCCATTTCAGTTTCCTGGTGGTTAATTGGAGGGCTGGGTGGCTCACTGGTAGAGTGCTTGCTTTGCATGCATGAGACCCTGTGTTCAATTCCTCACCACCACATAAACAGAAAAAGCCAGAAGTGGTGCTGTGGTAGAGTGCTAGCTTTGAGCTGAAGAGCTGAGGGACAGCATCCAGGCCTAGCGTTCAGGCTCCACAACCGACAAAAAAACCCAAAAAACTCTTTTGAGTCTCAAGGACTTACCTGCTTGGTCTGGCCTTAAACCTTGATTCTCAGATCTCAACCTCCTGAGCAGCTCAGATTACAGGTATGGGCCACCAGTGCCCAGCTGCTGTATGTATGTATTTATTAGACTGAACCCAGGGCCTGGTCTATGTTAGGGTGCCTGACTACTGAGCTATCCCCAAAGCCTAAACTTCTTTGTAAATAAGTTCTTCAAGTATTTCGTTATAGTAACAGAAAGCTGAATAATATAGTTCTACACCTATAAAGAGAATTATATAAATATTGATCTAGTAGGCAACTGTATTTCTCATTAGATTGTATGAGTCTTTTTTTTTTTTGGTAATTTGTGTGGCTTGAACTTTGGGCCTGGGCACTGTCCCTGAGCTCTTCAGCTCAAGGCTAGTGCTCTACCACTTGAGTCACAGCACCACTTCTGGTTTCTTGGTGGTTAATTGGAGATAAGAGTTTCGTGGACTTTCCTGCCCTGGCTGGCTTTGAACTGTGGCCTCAGATCTCAGCCTCCTGAGTAGCTAGAATTACAAGCATGAGTGCATGAGTCACCGGTTCCTGGTGAATTTTTTTTTGGTCAGTCATGGAGCTTGAACTCTGGGCTTGGGCGCTATCCCTTAGGTCTTCAGCTCAAGGGAAGCGCTCTACCACTTGAGCTACACCACCACTTCCGGTTTTCTAGTGGTTTATTGGAGAGAAGAGTCTTATGGACTTTCCTGCCTGGACTAGCTTTGAACCATGATCCTTAGATCTCAGCCTCCTGAGTAGCTAGGAGTACAGGTGTGAGCCACCAGCGCCCGGCTGAAATAAGATTTTTGTTACAAGTAATTTTTGCCTTTGGAATGAAAATGAGTTCCCCGAACTTTCAATCTAGAAGACTAAATAGGAAGCTTAACTAGACCCATGACATGGTACGTGAAGGTATTAGATATAAGTCCTAAGCATATTTTACAGTGTCATCAGGCATTTCTAATTTTTTCAATAGTTCAATGGAAAGAACACAAAATTAGGATACTGGTCTTGCCTGCGACTTGTGACCTTGAGCACTAAGTTCCAAATTTTCTCATTCTTCATTCAGAATACTTGTATTACTTGGTTGTCATGATAAACAAGATTATAGTTGTCAAATTTTTTTTTTTTTTGTCAGTTGTGGGGCCTGAACTCTGGGCCTGGGCGCTGTCCCTCAGCTCTTCAGCTCAAGGCTAGCGCTCACCACTTGAGCCACAGCTCCACTACTGGCTTTTTCTGCTTAGGTGGTACTGAGGAATCGAACCCAGGGCCTCATGTATGCAAGGCAAGCACCCTACCACTGAGCTACCTTCCCAGCCCAGTTGTCAAAATTTTTAACTCAACAAATATGTAGGTATCAAAGGAAGAAAATGTAAGTATGTGCTTTAGTTTATAATCTATTGGGGCCAGACTGGTAAAAGTAATATACTGGAATTCAGAGATTGCAGGGATTATATCCAGTGGAGTGTGTGTGTGTGTGTGTGTGTGTGTGTGATTGTGAGTGGTCAGTGATCAGAAAAATGTAATAAAGGTACTAAAAGCTGAGCTTTTAGTCAAGCTTTTAGTCTTGAGAAATAGGAAAAGTGGCAGGAGACTGTTTTCTGGCAGGGAGGCATTGAGACTGTCTGGCTCCAGCTTTCTTTTCCAGACTCATCTTTTGTACCAGCCAGACTAAATGTTCTCTGAATCACAAACATGTTTGGCATATAACAGGTAAGCTTTGAAGGTCTATCTCTTCCATTGAATCCTAATCCATTTGGAACTCCTACTTGCTCAATTCTCTGCTCACATGACTGGTTGCTTTTATTATAGTGTAGTACAACCACCTTAATTTCTCAATGGTTTGTCTTTATATCCCTAGGCACTGAATTCAATGCGTGCTCATATTAAGCAATTGGGAAATGTTTAAGTGAACTCGGTCCAAGGACACACTGATCTCTTTTGTACACCTGGGGATTGAGCCCAGAGCATTGTGCACAGGTGGCAACTGTCCTACCACTCATCTACATCCTTAGTCCTTGGATTTTTGAAGCAGTCTTGTTATGTAGCTCAGGCTGACCTGGAATTCCTTATGTAGTCTAGGTTGGCCTCCAACTTGTAGTACTCTTGCCTCCACAAGCCTCCTGAGTACTGGGATTGCAGGTCAGTGATTTTTTTCACTTTTGGTTCTTGCTGTGTTCCTTACATTATATTCTGTCTCTAAAACAGCAATGTATTGAACTTTTTGTTTTTAGATGAGGAAACTCACAGGGTTTTTAGCACAGGTCATCCAAACCAGAAAGTGCTTTTTTGACTTGATATCCAGCATTCCTCTTCTGTATTCTTGGGCCTTGTAGTGTCACTCAGGGAGAAAATACACTAATTCTCAGAGCCTTAGTTAGTTTTTTGTGTTTTTTTTTTTGCCTTTTTTTTGAGGGGGGGGGTCCGGTCGTGGGGCCTGAACTCTGGGCCTGGGCTCTGTCCCTCAGCTCTTCAGCTCAAGGCTAGCACTCTACCACCTGAGCCACAGCGCCACTTCCAGCTTTTTTTTTTTCTGCTTATGTGGTGCTGAGGAATCGGACCCAGGGCCTCATGCATGCAAGGCAAACGCTCTACCACTGAGCCCAAGAAATTTTTTAATTGTGAAAATACCGTACAAAGGGTTTTACATGGGCAAGGTACAAGAAATTTTTATGAGCTATTATCTGGTGAACACTTAGGATTTAGCATCTTCCCTTCACTCCCCCCCCCCCCCATGTCCACAGTTGTTACAAGCTCCCCCCCCCCAGCATAAATCCAACTCAAGGATCACAGCTGTGTGGTTCTCCCCCCCCCCCCCCCCTGCTCTGAGGTCAGAGATTGCTTGAATAATCTCAAGAGGCTGGGGTCTTAAAAAACAAACAAACAACAAACCCCAAACACCATTGTCTTTTTAGGCTCACGCCTGTAATCCTAGCTACTCAGGAGATTGAGATCTGAAGATCGTAGTTCAAAGCCAGCCCGGGCAGGAAAATCCATGAGACTCATTTCCAATTGACTATCGGAAAATCGGAGGTGGCGCGATGGCTCAAAATGGTAGAGTGCCATCCTTGAAGGAAATTGATACTGCCCAGGCCCGCGTTCAAGCCCTACAGCCGACCAAAAAATAAAATAAAGCAGCAAGTGGAAGGGGGCCCATGGATGGTCATCTGCTTTCCCCGCGTTCTTAAGTTCCTGAATTGTCTGCCTTTTACAGGGAAAAAGGCTCCTCGCAATGGTAGGCACCGTGCGGGGGCTGACCTGCGGGGCGGGGGCGGAGGGACGTCCGCCCGCTAGCTTCCCGCGTCTGCTCGAAAGCCGGGGTCCTCGGTGACGGCGGACGGGCAGTGCCTGGCCCGGGGGGGTATGGTGGGGGGGGGGGAATGCACATGCAAGGCCGGTGGTTGGTGTTTGGGAAGTGAGGCGCCCAGGCGGCTTTCGGGCTCCTTTTCCCGCCAGGAGAGGCTCCCTCAACCCTGCAAGCCCAGCGTTGAGCCGAGGCGCCGGGGCAGGCTGCAGGACCTCGCGACCCCCTCCCGGGGGCGGGGGCCCCGCTCCCTCCGCTTTCCGCCAGCCCGGGTGACTCCGACCCGAGTCCTCCGCTACAGGCCCCGCCCCCTTCCCTCGCGAGCCGCCCGGCGGCCGCGCGCCCGCGCGCGCTTCCCTCCCACAGCGCGGGTGAGAGGGAGCCGTCCTCCGTCGCCGCCCCCTCCCCTTTGTTTCCCCACCGCCACCACGAGCCCGGGAGCGTAGCCCCTCCCCGCGGGTGACTACCCCTCCCCCACCTCGGTTTAACGGGTGCCGGGGGCGGGGGAGGGGGGCGAAGGCTAGAACCGGGGGAGAGGACTGGCGTCCCCGAACCTTTTCAGCGAGAGTCTCGGCTCCCGGGCTCTCGGAGCCGTCGCCTACCCGCAGGGGGCCAGGACCCCTTTCCCGGCTTCGGAGCCCCCTCCCCCCTCGCCCTTCCCCGCTCCTCTCCGCCCCTGCCGCTCTCGCTCGGCCCCCTCCCCTCAGCGGGTCCTCCTCTTTCTCTCCCTCTCCCTCCTCCTCCCTCTCCCCATCCCTTCCCCCCCACAATGCAGTTCGCGGCGCGGCGGACATGGCGGTGGAGTCCTGAGCTCTTCGTGTCCCGGCCTCCAGCGGCGACGACGGCGACGGCGACGGCAGCGGGAGGCGGAGGGGGAGCGAGAGCCACTGAGATGAGGAGGCGCCGCGCGCGCCTGTAGCTCGCGGGCCTCGCAGGTACGGAGGCCCGGGCCGCCTCGCGGGTCTGCTCCGCGCCGCGCCGCGCGGGGTGCCGAGGGGGTGTGCTCGGGAAGGCCGGGCCGCCCCGGCTCGCTCTCCTCAGGTGCTGCGCCCCGCAGGTGTCGCGGCCGGGCGAGAGCGCCCCTCGGCCGCTCCCTCGGGGCCTGACACTTCTTTCTTGGCTGGAGCGGGATTCGGGCGTCCGGGGTGGGGTGGGGGGGGCGGGAGGAGGCTGAGAGGGGAGAGCGGTGGGGACGGCGGCCTGGGCGGCCTCAGGGGAGGAGAGCATTTGGGGCTCGTTGGGGGCCGAACTCCTGGAAGAAGAGCCTGGGGCTTCCCTGCCCCTCGTCGAAACCTGTTGTTAGACGGGCTAGGCGAATTTTGAGTTAACGGGATTGGCTTGAAGCGTTCTCTCGAGTCTGGTGTGATCCCTGCCTGGATGCCTTTTCTTTGACCCTTTGCTTCGACAGGGAAGTGTATGTAATGTATATAAACACACACACACACACAATGCATTACGTTCCCCCAGCCGCCCTTGGAGGGAGAATGCAGAGGTGTCCATGGATTTCTTTTCTTGCTCGCCCGCCTTTTGGGTGTACCTCCCCCCCCCTCCCCCCCAGTCGGATGGTGGCAATGCGCGCTTTTGACGTGGGTAGCTGTGAGGTTCGTATTTGTAAACAGACAGCACTTCCCGAGGGTGTTGCACGCCTCCGCACGAGGCTTCTGATCCTCACGGTATCTGGATTACAAAAGAATGGGGTGTTTACCTAAAAGGAGCACATCAGCGGGGTTTCTAGTCATACTTGAATGGGATGAATTGCTGTTATTTTAACGGCACTGGGTAAACGTTTGCTAAAAAGAATATCAAATCTTAAATGAGTTTTATTTTACCTTGTGTGGGCTGTTTCGGCATGTCAAGTTTCTTCATTTTGATCTACTTCTGATAAAAAGTACCATAAACATTTAACATTCTCCCTTTTGGGATTTCCCAAAATGTGCCCAGAGATGCATTTCGAATTGTTTATTGTTGGTATGCATTTAGTAATTAGCTCGAGCAGATCAGATTACTTTTTATTTCTAAACATTCTCTTCCCCCTATCTTGTGACAGGGAAATGTTTATCACATTTGGTGAAACAGAACATATCCTATTTCTATTCTTAAATTAAAAAAATGGATAATCTCAACTGGATCCGAAAATTTAGGGAAAGTGTCATTCAGGTGTTGAATTATGGAATGGTTTAATGAAAAATACTTTGTATGTGTCGTGTGTGTTTATGAGCTGAAATTTTCTTTACTCAGAACCCATATATGTTGCCTTAGAAATTTACTGCTGTACCGTGCTTCCTAGTACTGATTAATCACAACTTGTGAAATTAAATGTGTTCAATTTAGAAAACTGTACTTAAATAATGAACTTACTAGTGTCAACTCTACTACCTCCCATGTTTTTATAAGCAAATTATAGAGTACTTCTAAAAGCCATATACTTCGGGGAAGATAAGAATTTTATGCTTTATGCTTTAAAAATGACAAAAGACAGTTACTTAAATTCTTTGATACATTTCTCTGCTCTTTGCAGTTTTTCATTTGGCTAGTGTGGCAAATGAAAAAAAATCAAGCTTCTGTGAAATAATCTTGAAGGGAGTAAAAGTTAATGACATTTAATGTTTTAAATCCAGCAAACATCTGAGTATAGAAAAAAAACATTTAAGAGTTTCAGCTTTCAGGGCTGAAAGTAACACAGACAGTAACATGCACATTAGTTCAGCTTTGTAAATCCTAAATAAGACCTAGGATTTCTTTTGTGTTTGTTTAATATATCTAGAATAGTTCAGCATTAACATTTTAATTTTTAGACTTGAAAATTAAAATTTATACTTGTAATTACAAATATTTCTGCTTTAGAAAAAAAACTAAAGAGGATTTTTATTCTCAAAGTAGATTCACTTTTTCTTTTCTTTATTTGGCCAGTCCTGGGGCTTGAACTCAGGGCTTGGGCACTCATTGAGCTGCTGTTTTTGCTCAAGGCTTGCACTCTACCACTTGAGCCAGTACCACTTTCGGCCTGTTTATGTGGTACTTAGGAATGGAAACCAGTGCTTCATGCATGCTAGGCAAGCACTCTACCACTAAGCCACATTCCCAACCCAGTAGATTCACTTTAATAAGAGCAATTGAAGAATTTTTTTAAACCTCAGTTACCTTTGACATATGCATATACATATATATAGTAAATATCATTAACTGTGTTTTATTCTTTTTAGAATGCCATGTCAAAGATCTGTGGGTAGAAAAATGTATTTTGAACTTATTGATTGGAAAGCTTTTTGTTTCAGAGAAACAAAATGTCTATGATTTACCTGTAGGACTGGGATGTAGCTTAGTGGCAAAGTGCTCTCCAGTACCAAAAAGAAAAGACAAAAAATAAATAAATAAATAGCTTTTTTTTTTTTTTTTTTTTTTTAAAAGAGTGAGCCAAGAGTTACCTGTAAATGCTAATGCTAGCAGATTTTGTTTATCTTTAAAAAGAAAAGGACTTTTTTTTTTTGGTCTGTTTGTTTGGTGCTGATCTTGAGGCTTGAACTCAGGGCCTGGGTGCTGACCCTGAGCTTTGATGCTCAAGATTAGTGTTCTACTACTTCAGCTACAGTTCCACGTCTGGGTTTTTGGTGGTTAATTGGAGATAAGAGTCTCACAGACTTCCTTCTTGGGCAAGTGATTCTCATATCTTAGTCTCCGTGGGCTGGGAAGGTGGCTCAGTGGTAGAGCACTTGCCTTGCATGCACGAGGCCCTGGGTTCCATTCCTCAGCACCAGGCCCTGGGTTCCATTCCTCAGCACCACATAAGCAAAAAGAAAAAAGCCGGAAGTGGTACTGTGGCTCAAGCGGTAGAGCACTAGCCTTGAGCTGAAGAACTGAGGGACAGCGCCCAGGCCCTGGGTTCAGGCCCCACAACTGACAAAAAATTAAAAAAAAAAAAAATATCAGAAATGTTTAAATTTATAAAAATGTTATAAAATTAAGTTAGAGTCATTGCTGCAGATAGAAGTATATTCTAAAAGAAAAAAAAAAGAGAAAATGACGCTAGTTCAAAGCAGGATGTGGATTTTTAAAAATGAATCTTAGAAGAATTAAAATTACATGTGACTAAATAGTTTTAGTTCTAGAATCTCAGAAAATTGCATAATTTGGAGCTGATGGCTCACACCTGTAATCCTAGCTACTCAGGAGGCCGAGGTCTGAGGATTGCGGTTCAAAGCCAGCCTGGACAGGAAAGTCCGTGAGACTCTTATCTCCAGTAAACCACTAGAAAACCAGAAGTGGCACTGTGGCTGAAGTGGTAGAGTGCTCGCCTTGAGCTGAAAAGCTAAGGGACAGGGCCCAAGCCCAGAGTTCAAGCCCAGGACACATACACACACACAAAACAGCATAATGTCCCCAAGAGTTTACACACACACACACACACACACACACACACACACACACACACACACACACACACACACACACACACACACACACACACACACACACACACACACACACACACACAGCATAATGTCCCCAAGAGTTTCCTATAATCCTCCAAAGAAAAAGACACATAAATGCAAAGATTAAACAGCTAAGTTTCCTGTTTAAGGAAAGATTTAATGTGTATAATGCCTTATAGTTTATTTTCATACCAAATTTTCTCCTTTTATGTCTGTAATTATCCCGTGTTGGAGGATAAGAGAGAAGAAAACTATTACAAATACCTGTTTTGTGACTTTTCTTGGTGTGTGCCAGTACTGGGGCTTGAACTTAGGTGGTTCTTGAGCATTCTTGGCTTGCCTACCCCCTTCCCCCTTGAGGCTGGCGCTTTGCCACTTGAGCTACACCTCCACTTCCTAGAGTACCTGTTCTATTCCAAGCAGTTGTACTAAACATGTTTATGTACTTTTTTCACTTGTTCATTGTAAAAGCTCCATGTAAATACTTATAGATGATGAATGCATGACCTATAGCGGGTAAGTATTTGTTGAACCTTATGAAGTTAGATTTCAAAGCAGATCTGGGATCCTCTTTCTCATGTTGCTTTTCATATATATCATATATTTTCTCAAAATTTTATAAGTGGAAGCCCGGGCGCCAGTGGCTCATGCCTATAATCCTAGCTACTCAGAAGACAGATCTGAGGATCACAGTTCATGCAGGAAAGGCCGTGAGACTCTTACCTCCAGTAAACCACTCAGAAAACTGGAGGTGGCGCTGTGGCTCAAGTGGTAGAGTGCTAGCCTTGAGCTGAAGAGCTGAGGGACAGCATTCAGGCCCAGAGTTCAAGCCCCACAACCGACAAAAAACAAAACAAAAAAAATTGTAGAAGTAGAAGCTGCTTTTATTTTCTTTCTTCAGCCTGAACTTTGGGCCTGGGTGCTATCCCTCAGCTCTTCAGCTCAAGGCTAGTACTCTACCACTTGAGCTATAGCACTACTTCCGGCTTTTTCTGTTTATGTGGTGCTGAGGAATCCAACCCAGGGCTTCATGCATGCAAGGCAACCATCCTACCACTGAGCCTCCTTCCCAGCCCCTGGAAACTGCTTTTTTTTTTTTTTTTGGGTCCGGTCGTGGGGCCTGAACTCTGGGCCTGGGCGCTGTCCCTCAGCTCTTCAGCTCAAGGCTAGCGCTCTACCACTTGAGTCACAACACCACTTCCGGCTTTTTTCTTTTTGCTTATGTGGTGCTGAGGAATTGAACCCAGGGCCTCAGGCATGCAAGGCAAGCGCTCTACCACTGAGCCAACTTCCCAGCCCTGGAAACTGCTTTTAATGTTGCTCATTCATTTACCAAATCACCTTATCACATTTCCATTTGTTATTTCTTTTCTTTTTTTTTGTCTGAGTCTGGGACTTGAACACATCTAACCCTTGCTTTCACTAATTGGCTGGTGCTCTACAACTGGAGCTACACATCCAACCCCTCCATTTGTACTTTAGACAGATAGCCTCTTGAATTTTTA